AGAGAGAATAGTGCAACAATGAATGAATGGAAACCCAAAATCTCTGTAAATGTTTATGAAAATTAATAAAATATAATTATAGAAAAAAAATAAATAAATTTCAGTGTATAGAAACTATAGTAGCCAAAGGATCAAATTAAAAATATTTTGAAGGGATAGGGAAAATAAGAATGGCTAAAGATTGATAATTATTGAAAGTGACTGATGGAGATTGACTATTCTGTTGTTTACTTTTTGTGTATTTAAACTTTGTATTTATTTGAAAAAGATAAGAACAAAACCCTTTTAAGAAACTAACATAGGATAACCCTATTCTAGATACTTGTAAAATTTAGTCATGGAGTGTGAATGAGGAGAGAGGATTGAAAGAGGATAAAAACCTGAAATTGTATATATTTGAAAAAGCATCAGAGAAAATAGAACACACCAGGAAACCAACAAACTTAAAATATAGTATGTTGACATTCTACTCAGTTATAAAATTTAATCATAGAGGAAAAATTTAAAAAGGGAACTGCTCTGTATCAAGAGACTAAGAGAGAAAGTAAATTTAGTGATATTTGAACCTTATTAAATGAGATTTGATTAAATCCTTAATTTAGAACACTGACATTAAAAAGATAATTTGGAGAAAGTTGGAAATGGACTAAATGTTGATGTTAGAAAATGATTGTTAATTTTTTTAGGAAAATTTCCTGTACATTTTTGTTTTTAGGAGAAGGTTGAGAGGCTAGTATTAAAATGCCATCTTTAAGCTTAAATGTTGTTGTTGTTACGTGCCATCGAGTTGCTTGTGACTCATAGCGACCGTATGTACAACAGCCCTAAACCCTGCTCTATCCTGTGCCAATTGCATTGCCTCTGGCACACCCATCCCGATTACCCCAGTCACTGAATCAGTCCACCTCATAGAGGGTCTTTCCCTGCTGCGCTGTCCCTCCGCCCTACCAAGCATGATGTCCCTCTCCAAGAACCCGTCCCTCCTTACAACATGCCAAAGTATGTCAGATGAAGCCCCAGAATCCTTGCCTCCACGGAGTAGCCTGGTTTAACCCTCTCCAGGATGAATCTGTTTGTTTTCTTGGCAGTCCATGGTACATTCAATACTCTTCTCCAGCACCACAGCTCAAAGGCATCAATTCTCCTTCTGTCCTCCCTAGTCATTGTCCAACTCTCTGATGCATAACAAGTGATTGCAAAGACCATGGCCTGTATCAGGCGCACCTTAGTCTCCAGAGAGACACCGTTGCTCTTGAGTACTTTAGAGAGGTCCCTAACCGCAGACTTTCACATCACAATACTTTTTTTGATTTCCTGGCTGCTGGTGCCAAGAGTGTTGACCTTGGAGCCGAGCAAACTGAAGCTGTGAACAATCTTAATCTCTTCGCCATCCATCCTGATGCTACCAGTTGGTCCAGTGGTGAGAATCTTTGTCTTCTTGACATTGAGCCCCAGTCCATACTGAAGGCTGCAGTCGTTGACCCTCTGCAGCAAGTGCATGAGGTCCTCCTCAGTTTCGGCAAGCAGGGTTGTGTCATCTGCATAACGTAGATTGTTAATAGATCTTCCACCAATCCTGATGCCACACTTCTCCTCATAGAGCTCAGCCTCTCATATAATCTGCTCTTCATACAGGTTGAAAAGGGATGGAGA